GGTAGAATCATATGTTTGTCCTTTTAGGTCTGGCTTATTTCATTTAGCATAATGTTTTCAGCCCATGTTGTAACATGTATCAGAACTTTATTCCTTTTTATGGCTGAATAGTATTCCATTGTATGGATATACCATATTTTGTTTATCCATTCATATATAGTTGGACGCTTGGGTTGTTTCCACCTTTTGGCTATTGTGAATAATACTGGCATGAACAATGAGTAGTGCTGCAGTAGATGTATAAGTATCTGTTGAGTGCCTACTTTCATTTCTTTTGGGTATATATAGGTATGGAATTGCCAGGTCTGATAATTCTATGTTTAACTTTCTGTAGAACCATCAAAGTATTTTCCACAGCAACTGGACCATTTTACATTCCTGCCAACAATGTACAAATGTTATAATTTCTTATTCCTCACCAACACTTGTTTTTCATTTTTTAAAAAAAATTATAGCCATTCTGACAGTTGTAAAGTAGTGTCTCATTGTGGTTTTGACTTGTGTTTCTCTATGACTAATGAAAATAACTTTTCTTGTGCTTATTGGCTATTTGTATGTTTTCTTTTGAACTACATCTGACATTATTTGCTAATAGATTGGATATGCTAAGGTCAGGAAAAAGGAGGAATCCAGTTTGAGGAATAACTCCTGGATTTTTAGGTTAAATTACTGGGAAAATGAGTACTGCAATGAATGATATAGGAAAGATAGATTCAGGAGAAAATTAAGGCTTCTCTTTGGACCTTATTAAATTTCAAACACCTATAAAACATCCCAACTGAGATGTCAATAGAGTCTATGAATATGGAACTCAAAGATTTATCATTTTAAAGTTAAGCATTGGATGAGATAACCTAGTATATATTAGAAAAGAAGATCAGACTAAGCTCTGCCACATTCCCAATATTTAGAGGTCAGATTTAGAAGGAGGAATCAACAAAAAAAGACTGGAAAGGAGTCACCGGCAAGATAGAAAGAAAACCATGAAAACATAATAGGAAAACTGAGAAAGTATTGTTTTTGCTTTTTAGGTGTAGACGAGAGAAGTATCCACTGCATTTAACATTGTAGAGCTAAAGATATCTTTGACACAAATAGTTGCATTGTAGAGAGATGCAGCAAAACCAACATTCAGTGAATTAAAGCACAAATAAATATACCATGCACAAAAATAAATTCCAGGTGGATTAAAAATTGACATTTAAAAAGTAAAACTTATGACCCTGGTACTATGAATGATTTCAAATAAGATTTAAAAGGCACAAATAAGACTTCTGGCATTAGGCAGCAGAGCCATTGATGCTCTCCTCTGAGCTGTGCTGAGGTTGTAGGGCCCAGCTGCATGAGGGGAGGCCTCTTCATGGGCTGTGGTGCTGCAATGGGCGGGAGAATCCTATGAGTGGGTGGGGAGCATGTCAGCCACCTCAAAGGAGAAATCACAAGGCACAGAGATTGAAAAATTCCAGATGGTCTATAGTTTTGATACCCTCAGAGTCTTTGGGTACATCTTTTAGCTGAAGAAGGCACAGACTGCCACTGACAGTGGTGGCCTTGCCACCAGGTTTCTACTGGCGCTCAGGGCCTCATGACTCTCAACTCCCCGTGCCTCATGAGCAGGATAGCTGGCCTCTCTCTGGCTATGCTCTGCTGGATGAGCTATCTCTTCTGGAGACTGGTGGGAATCCTGTATGTGAATGAGTCTGGCACCATGCTGCAGGTGGCTCAACTAACCTTCTGGGGCTGGCAGTAGGACACATACTGTCCTGTGGCAAATGTGAGTCCCCTGACAGAACTGAGGAACAGCTCAGGAGCTGTTCATGCATATATAGCAGTACAGTGGGAGGGAGACCTTCTACCTCACCCTGCACTATGGGATGCATCCTAAACAGAGAGTGTTTCTCACAGGTGTTTGGGATGCTGGACACACTCAAGCTAACAAATGGGAGCCAGGGCTCTGGGTGACCCTGAACTGCCTAGATCTCTGGCAGGAAGACTTAGGGTATGAGTAAGGCTGAAGAAGGTATCAGGCACCTGGAGAGTTTGCCAGGGCCCCTGAGATCTTGTCTTTAAGGAGAAAGAAATTCATGAGGCAGGTAACCAGGTTTAGAAAAAAGGCTTTTAGTGCAAGTTCTTACTGGGCTTGTGTATGACATTCAGTCAGATAATGGCCAGAAGTTTCTGTTAAGAGCCAGTTCTTAGAGGAAGCTGTGCCAAGTCACCCAGACAGTACACTCTGAAATTGGAAGACAAAGGTGTGGGAGGGGGAGTAAACGATTTGGAGTCAGAAGTCTTGGGTTCTGTCAGTTATCAACTCCCTGTCCTTGGGTAGGTTATCGAGTCTCACTGGTTTTCACATCTGCAAAATGGAAAGTCCTACCTGTCTCATGGGATGGGTGTGAGAATAAACAATAAATGTCAAGTGCATTGCAAACTCAGTAGCCCAGAACAAATATTAAGTGTTTGGTGAAAGGTCAGGGCTTAGTGAAAGGCTTCCAGACAGTCAGCAGTGACTTCCAAAGCCTGGTGCTGTGCCACTTCATATACCCAGGAGGAGAAGGGACTGGGGTGATGCCTGGATCCTACCAGGATTGTCACTGCATATTGACTCAGGCAGGATGTCATCCAAGTGAGCACAACACCCCAGCTAAGATTTTGTTTACTTCCCAGAGGTCTAGGGGCCTATTCCATCGGAAGGCTTTGCAGTCTAATAAAGCCAGATCAGAAAGCTGAGGTGGGAGGATCACTTGAGCCCAGGAGTTCCAGCCTGAGTGACAGAGAAAGACCCTGTCTCCTAAAATAAATAAAGGAAAAAAGGAAGGAGGGAAGGCAGGCAGATGGACTATAACAACAACAAAAGAGGCACAAATAAGGCCATAAAGGAAAAAATAGATAATTTGGGGTACATTAAAATGAGAAACATCTATAAATCAAACCAAGTGAGAAGATAAGCCACAGATTGAGAAAAGATTTATGTCACATGGAACCACCAATATTTAATAGCCAGAATTACAAAGAATTTCTAAAACTCAAGAAAAAGACAACTCAGTAGAAAAGGAGTAAAAGGATATAAATATAGTATATATTAGAAAAGATCAGACTGAGCTCTGTCACATTCCCAATATTTAGAGGTCAGATTCAGAAGGAGGAATCAGCAAAAGAAGACTGGAAAGGAGTCACCAGCAAGATAGAAAACCATGAAAACATAATAGAAAAACTGAGAAAGTTTTCATGGAAGAGGAAACATGAACAGTCAATAAATGTATAAGATGCTCAACCTCACTGGCAATCAGGGAAATCCATTAAAACCAAGAGACAGAAATTGCCCTCAGATTGGCAAAAATAAAAAGTCTTAACAATACCAGGAATTGGCAGGAATGTGAAACAGACCTTCCCTAAGTGCAAGTAAGAAAAATATGTGATAGCATTCATTATTTAAAATTTTTAAAAATGTGTCAATATTTGAGATTTTTTTCCTAGTAAAACTAAGAAAAAATGTTTGGTGACTTTTAGTTAACAATTTTTTGACTATTATTTTTGAATGGGGAGATGGTAGATACCAGGTTTCAATCTTTAATGTTTTTTTCATTTCAAAAGACTTTTCATAATCAAAGTTTTCCCATTTTATTTTGGGAGGGAAAATCATCAACAAGGTGTCATTGTTGGTAAAGTGGTAGGGTTCCTTGGGATTTTTTTCTTAAGGGGTTTATATATCTCTTAAAATTCTTTGGGCATTTTCTGTGACTGATACTATAGGTTGGCAAATTCAAAATCCATTTCTAATCTCTTTCTCCCTTTCCTGTCTCTAATATGGAGGAAATACAGGAAAAGACCCAGCTTCCTTGCAGCTAGGGGTAGCTATGCAACATAGTCCTGTTCAATCAGAGCCAAGATGACTGCCAGTTTCCTCTTCTTCCTTCTGCTGCCTGAAACCAGAACCAGAGGTGCAGCAGTCATTTGGTGACTTTGTTAGGATAATCATATAGACACTAGATAAAAAGTATGAAGGTAAAAAACCTATATATATATACATATATATATATATATATATATAGTATTGTATATAAAAGGATCTTAGAATAGTGCCTATTATTATTCAGGAATAAATCAGGTACATTTTAGTTTAAAAAAATAGGGCATTCATTATCTAATATATATTTTATAATCTAAGAATTTTCTCAAGATTATATTGCAGAAAATTTTAAAGTCAGTTATTCTACTCCAACACAGTTATTTAATTTTATTTTTATGCTCACTCTTTTTTCTAAATATGTTTGTCTTGGACAAACTCTTTTTTTTTTAATTTTGTTTTTTTTGAGACAGAGTCTCACTCTGTTGCCCAGGCTAGAGTGCTGTGGTGTCAGCTTAGCTCACAGCAACTTCAAACTCCTGGGCTCAAGTGCTCCTTCTGCCTCAGCCTCCTGAGTAGCTCAGACTACAGGCATGTGCCACCATGCCCAACTAATTATTTCTATATATATTTTTAGTTGGCCAATTAATATCTATTTTTTTTTTTTTTTTAGTAGAGACGGGATCTCGCTCTTGCTCAGGATGGTTTCGAACTCCTGACCTTTAGCGATCCACCCGCCTGGGCCTCCCAGAGTGCTAGGATTACAGGTGTGAGCTACCACACCTGGCCTGGACAAACTCTTAATCATTTGCAATATAAAGAGACATAGGCTTAATTTATAGCAGTATTGTGTTAACAGGAAAGATATAAATTCTGCTCTACTATTTGATGATTCAACTAAACCTAGTATATTAATTTCAGCCTTTCCATCACCAGAGTGGGCTGCAGTGGTTGGAAGGTTTCCAACAAAGATATTGGAAGGCCTTTAAAAGGTAGTGTTAGGGATCCATGCAACCAGGAAGGGGAGGGCACCACTTTGGGTTCCCTTTACCCCTGAGATCTCAGGGTGGGAGAAGTGGAAGAAAAACAAGCTTTCTTCCAGACTACTGGTTGGCAGCTTGTGACAGAGCTAATCTGGTTTCTTTCAAGTCAGTGACAGTCATTTTTAAGAGTGGGTTTATTTACTTCCAGGATCCACCTCCCTTCTCCTCTCAGAATCCTTTGCCCCAAAGGACTTTGTCCTTCTCTTCGCAGCTGGGCACTGTGGGCACCTTCTGCAACTTGCTCAATGCAGGTTTGCCACAAACTTTCAATTTGTAAATAATGCAATATCTGCAAAGCACAAGAAAGTAAAGTATGATTAAATGAAATATGCCTATAGACAGAAAACCTGGATCCCAGAGCTGTTGTAGAAGTTTTAGATCTGGACTCATGATATGTCAGACAAGTCCCTGTGGGGTTGAGTTCGTGTTAGTTGGAATTAACTAACCAACCAAACTTACTCCCTAATTGATTTACCTATTTTTATCATTAAAAATCTCACAATTATTAAGTGGTATGAATGGATGATGATATTTGGAATATACAAAATATACGTTTTTATAATGTTACAATAAAGTAAGAATATCTTGTTGATAAATTAATACTTTGAGCTTTTGGTTATCATAAATATATATACATGTGAGTGTGTATATATGTATATAAATGCATATAATCGATTTGATTATATATCAGAATGAAAGAATATGGGGATAATGCTCTTATTTTTTAATATGCTATCTTACAATATTCAACATTGGAAAAATTAGCATCATAAAGGTATATTTTAGACCTAAACATATCTTACCATGTAGCTCAGTTTCCTTTTTACACAGGTGAGAAAACCAAATCCTTGAGAGAGAGGATATGCAACTTATTCAGAGTTACTTAATTACTGATTTTTCCCATTTAATGTTTTTTCCTAGAATGTAGTCTAAGAGCACTGAATCGGGTACTACATGATGAAATACTTAATAAACCTATGGAAACACTTAAACTTGCTATTCCATCAGGCATATATACTCTTCAGAACAATTTACTCTATGTGGCACTGTCAAATCTAGATGCAGCTACTTATCAGGTACTTAAAATATACATCTTTCTTTAAAAAAATTTTATTGATACATAATATGTGTACATATTTATGGGATACATGTGATATTTTGATACATGCATACAATGTGTAATGTTCAAATCAGGGTGCTGAGGATATCCATTACCTCAAACATTTATCATTTCTTTATATTGGGAACATTTCAAATCTTCTAGCTATTTTAGAATTTATAGTTTTTATAAATAATGAATGATTATTAACTATAGTCCCCCTACTGTGCTGTCAAACACTAGAACTTATTCTTTCTTTATTTTTTCTTTTTCTTTTTTTGAGGGAGCGGCAAGGTCTGCCTCTAGTACAGGCTGGTCCCGTCCCCCTGGAACTAATTCTTTCTATCTAACTGTATGTTTGTATTCATTAACCAAACTCTCTTCATCCCTCCTTCCTGTTTCCTTCCTAGCCTCTGGTAACTATCATTCTACTCTCTACCTCCATGAGATTTAGCTTCAATATATGAATGAGAACATGTCTTTTTGTGCCTGGCTTATTGCACTTAACATAATGACCAGTTCCATCCATGTTTTTGCAAATAACAGGATTTTATTCTTTTGGCTGAATGGTATTCCATTGTGTATATATACCACATTTTCTATATCCATTCATTCATTGATAAGACACTTAGGTTGATTCCCTATCTTGGTTATTGTAAATAGCGCTACTGTAAACATGAGGGTGCAGGTATCCCATTGATATACTGATTTCCTTTCCTTTGGATAAATACCCAGTTGTGGGATTGCTGGGTCATATGTTAGTTCTATTTTTAGTTTTTTGAGAAACCTTCTTATTGGTTTTCGTAGTGGCTATACTAATTTATATTCCCACCAACAGTGAGTTCCCTTTTCTCTGCATCCTCTGCAGCATGTTTTTTTGTTTTTGTTTTTGTTTTTGTCTCCTTGATAATAGCTATCCTAATGAGATGATATCTTATTGTGGTTTTGATTTGCATTTCCCTGATAATGAGTGATGTTGAGCATTTTTAAAAAATACCTCTTGGCCATTTGTATGTCTTCTTTTTATAAATGTCTATTTAGGTCCTTTGCTTGCTTTTCCATTGGATTATTTGTTTTTATGCTATTGAGTTGTTTGCATTCCTTGTATATTCTGGATATTGGTCCCATGTTGGATGAATAGTTGCAAATATTTTCTCCTGTTCTACAGGTTGTCTCTTCACTTTGTGGATTGTTTCCTTTGTGGATGTCTCCTTCTGCAGAAGCTTTTTAGTTGAATATAATCCCATTTGTATATTTTTTTTCATGTGCTTTTGAAGTTGTAGCCATAAAATCTTAGCCTAGATCAATATTCTAAAACATTTCCCCCTCTGTTTTCTTCTATTAGTTTTACAGTTTTGAGTCTTAAGTCTTTAATCCATTTTGAGTTGATTTTTGAGTATGGTGAGAGATAGGGGTCTAGTTTCATTCTTTTGCATATTGATATGCAATTTTCCCAGCACCATTTATTGAAGAGGATGTCCTTTTCCCAGTGTGTGTTTGTGGTGCCTTTGTCAAAAATCAGTTGGCTATAAATACATGAATTTATTTTGGGGTTCTCTAATTCTGTTCCACTGCTCTTTGTGTCTATTATTATACCAATACCATGCTGGTTTGGTTACTATAGCTTAGTACTATATTTTGAAGTCAAACAGTATAATGCCTTAAGCTTTGTTCTTTTTGCTCAGGATTGGTTTGACTATTCAGGATATTTTGTGGTTCCATATGGATTTTAGGAGTACTTTTTTCTATCTCTGTGAAGAATGTAATTAGTATTTTGAAGGAGATTACACTGAATCTGTAGATTTTTGGGGGGTAGTATGGTCATTTTAATATTAACTCTTCTATTCCTGAACATGGGATGTGTTTCCATTTGTTTGTGTCCTCTTCAATTTCCTTCATCAGTGTTTCGTAGTTTTCCTTGTAGAAATCTTTACTTCATTGGTTAAATTTATTCCTAAGTTTTTTATATTATAAATAGTATTATTTTCTTGATTTTTTTTTCAGCTAGCTTGTTATTGGTTTATAGAAATATTACTGATTTTTGTATGTGCCAACTTAACTGATTTCATTGATCAGTCTAAGAGTTTTTAGATGGAGTGTTTAGTTTTATCTATATATAAAATTATGTTGTCTGAAAAGATGGACAGTTTGACTCCATCTTTTCCAATTTGAATGCGTTTTATTTCTTTCTCTTGCCTGATTGCTCTGGCTAGGATTTCCAGTACTATTTTTAATAAGAGTGATGAAAGTGAACATCCTTGTCTTGTTACAGTTTTTAGAGGGAAGGCTTTCAGCTGTGCCCCATTCAGTATGAGGTAAGCTGTGAGTTTGTCTATGTGGCCTTTATTATGTTGAGATATGCTCCTTCTATGCCTAATTTGTTGAGAGTTTTTATCATGAAGGATGTTTTAAATTTTATCAAATGCTTTTTGCATCTACTGAGATGATCATATGGTTTTTGTCCTTCATTCTGTTGATGTGATGTATCGCATCTATAGATTTGCATATGTTAACTCATCCTTGCATCCATGGGATAAATCCCAGTTAATCACAGTGAATAATCTTTTTGATGCACTATTGGATTCCCCTGGCTACTATTTTGTTGAGGATTTTTGCGTCTATGCTCATTAGGGATATTCAACGGTAATTTTCTTTTTTTTGTTGTGTCCTTGTCTGGTTTTGATTTCAGGGTTATGCAGGCCTTGTAAACTGAATTAGGAAAAATTCTCTGCTCTTCAGTATTTTGGAATAGTTTGAGAGGAATTGATTTTCATTCTTCTTCATAGGCTTGGTAGAATTCAACAGTAAAGCCATCTAGTCCTGAACTTTTCTTTTTTGGGAGACTTTTTATTAATGATTCAATCTCATTACTCATTATTGGTCTATTCAGGTTTTCTATTTCTTCATGGCTCAATTTTGGTAGGTTGTGTCCAAGAATTTATCCATTTCCTCTAGATTTTCCAGTTTATTAGTGTAGCTCATAACAGTCTCTAATGGTCCTTTGTATTTCTGTGGTTTCAGTTGTTATGTCTCCTTTTTCATTTCTGATTTTATTTGGGTCTTCTCTCTTTTTTTCGTGGTTAGTCTGACTAATGGTTTGTTGATTTTTGTTTATCTTTTCAAAAAACCAACTTTTCATTTCATTGATCCTTTCTATTGTTTTTGTTTTTTTTTTCCTTTTTTTTGAGACAAAGTCTCACTGTGTTGTGCAGACTAGAATGCTGTGGTGCTAAGATAGCTCACTACAACCTTGACCTCCCATGCTCAAGGATCCTCCAACCTCAGCCTCCTGAGGAGCTGGGATTATAGATATTCATCACCATGGCCAGCTAATTTTTGAATTATTTTTTTTGTAGAGACAGGGTCTCAGTATATTTCCCAGGCTGGTCTTAAACTCCTGGTCTCCAGCAGTCCTCCCAACTTACCCTCCCAAAGTGCTGGAATTATAGGCATGAGTCACTGCACTTGGCTCTTTGTATTGTTTTTTAGTCACCATTTTATTTAGTTCTGCTCGGATCTTTATTATTTCATTCCTTCTATTAATTTTGGGTTTAGTTTGTAATTGCCTTTCTAGTTCCTTAAGGTACATCATTAGATTATTTATTTGAAATCTTTCTACTTTTTTGATATAGGCATTAAATTTAGCACTGTTTTTTCTGTATCCCATAGGTTTTGGCATTTTGTGTTTCCATTTTCATTTGTTTGAAGAAATTTTTTGTGTTGCTTCTCAATTTCTTCATTGACTCAAAGGTTGTTCAGGAGCCTGTTTTTTTACTTCCCTGTATTAGAAGAGTTTCCAAAGGCCCTTGTTATTGATTTCTACTTTCATTTCCTTGTAGTCTGAGAAGATACTTGATATGATTTCAATTTTTAAAGAATTGTTTTGTATCCTAACATATACACATGGTCTCTTGTGGAGAATGTTCCATTTGCTGATGAGGAGAATGTGTACTCTGCAACTGTTGGATGAAATATTCTGTAAATGTCTGATAGGTCCATTTGATCTAATGTGCAGTTTAAATCCAGTGTTTCTTTCTTGATTTTCTGTCTAGATGATCTTTTTAATGCAGAGAGTGTGGTGTTGAAGTCTCCAACTATTATTGTGTTGGAATCCATCTCTCCCTTTATTTGACTTCATTTTGCCAAGTTCACTGCATAATGTTCTGTGAGCAGTTTTTCTCAATTATGAC